CTTTTTTCCCCTAGCAAAAGTTGAGTTTGCACGTCAGTGTTCATAAAATTTTCATTAATCAAAAAAACCAGAAATAAAACAGTTTCATCGTTGCATTAGTGTTGCAATGCTGTTTTTGAACACTTTTAACATTCTTCCGGTTCCTATTTTCCAACTGCTGGCTCGTGATGGGGAAGCCCCTGATGTTTTGCATTACTCGGTTGATTTCTATGGGGAACCCCCATTAAGATAATATTTACTGCAAACAAATGTATTTTATTTTGGACCGTTTTAAAACGAATTTTGTATGTTATAATATGTATATATTTTAAGAATATTAGAAAATATTTAATAAGAACACATATATAAATAAAATTTAATTATTGTTATTTATTTGACAAACAAAGGCATACTCCTATCTGGCGTAAAATTGGCCAATCGCAGTAGCATGGTTTTAGGCTTGACAGTGTATAAAGCTTTAGGTGGCTTACGTCACAAACAGTCTAAAAGTGTAAATTCGATATTCGTACTTGTCAAACTGGTGTATGATGGCTGGAATGAAAGGTCATAAGATAGATAATTTAAATAGAGAACTTGTGCTCTTGTAAAATTTGAAAGAAATGATACTATTACAAAGAATTCAACATAAATATAGAATTAAAATGATATACTAAAAACATAACCTTATTACTGTTGTTGTCATTGGTGAACAATTTCTGCATATAAACAACGCGTATTTACTAACTTATTTTATACCATTATTAACTTAGTATTTATTTTTGTACATTAACTCTCTGTTAACAAACTTTTATTAAAAAAATTAAACAGCTGTAAACAATATGTACTTTTCTAATTTTGTGAAAATAGTTAAATTGTATTTAAATCATATACATGTAGATTATTATATATGTTCAAGGTTCCAAGATAGCATAAATGAAATAGTAAATTCTGTAAATGAAACTGTTTTATGAACATTTTGAAGTTATAAAAACATTTTCCTTAAAACATTGCAAGACAATATGAAATTTATATAGTAAGAAAATGAATCTGCTACAAAACTTCATGAAGTACAATTACTTATAATTTTCAATTAATAAAAATTTACTATTTATGTATATTATTTTTTTTGTTTCATGCATTTAATGGTCTTTATTGACTAACAGCGTAAGTATTTTAAAATAATTTTCTAATTTGTTTATTATACATATTTTGTTGCATGTAAATTACAGCAGACATTTGTTTATAGATTAGTATTTTCGGCATTTGCTGGATCTATTGGTATAACATGTGTCCTACTTGGATGTACAATACCAGCCAATAAGTAAGTACTACCATTATCATAAATGTATTTATTCTTTATTATATGTAACGGATGAGGTGCAGAGAATGTGTAAAATTTTTCTGGCGATTATAAAAATGTTTTTTGCGCATCACAAACAATTCTGTTTATGAGAATTTGAGGCAGGAAAGTTTTAAGGTTTGTCCATAACCATAGGAAAATGTATTAACTTAAATTCAATTTTCATTAATTACTCTTTCTTCTTAAGGAGTTAATTTTACATGTTCGCTACCTCTTGTCCACCAAGTGTCTTGTAACTGGTAACACAAGTGAAAACGTAGGTAGAAATCTTAAAAATATCTCGTTAACTATTGGGTTTAGGATGTATGAAGGTCAACACAATTTTACATAGAATTTGATACTCTATCGATCTATGGTATAAAAAATAGGCCATGCTGTTAAAAAAAATCAAGGAGACCTTGAAATCTCTGAAATACCTCCACTCACAAGAAAAGCACATACTTTATAAGATGCATCCCTTGATGCTATTTAAGTTCCATGTCTCAAAATTTTCATAAAGTGTACCGTTAAGTCATTATTCAAGGTGATCAAGTTAGCTGAGACACCGTGTATATAGTGACAGGGTATACTTGGGTATGGAGAACCTAATGCAGAGCCACGTTTCAATGATAAACCAAAGGACCGCTGAGCTCAATACACAACTATTTACTGTGAGGTGTTTTGGTATTGGTCAGATTACATTGAATAAACATGTCTCTGCCACATTAAGAGTAAAGCATACCTCATATGCCACTATACCTCAGTAGTGGCTAAAATTGGACTTGCATGCTTTATCAATGTTCAAAGTCACCATTAGCTGGGAAACGAAAAGAGTTACAAAAAAATGTTATTTTATTTTATATATAATTACCACTTTTCTTCTTGTACCACCAGTTACGTTACATCCTGTATATCTATATCAACATATGGAAATGATATCATGTACTTTATATTATCGAAGATTACAATATAATATTAATTAATTTCATATATTGCCTCTAGAGTGTGGTGGCCATTTTTTGTTGTATTATTCTATGCATTGTCACCAATTCCAACTGGGCTTGCAGTTTGGTACACAAATGATTACGGTAGTAATCGAAATCCATGTTTGGAATTGGCCGTATTCATTACCATGGGATTTATTGTGTCTTCTTTCGGTCTTCCTATTGTATTAGCAAGATCTCCAGCCAGTGATCCAGTGGTACATTCAAATTATATGCATTTTTTTATTTAGTCGTTATAAGATATTATTAGACTGCGGTTGTTTATGCAAGTATAGAATTTTACTTACACTATTAAAGAGTTTCGGTAGACTTCAAATGAAACAAAAACTTCAGTAAGTTTCATTAAACGTTTTACTGTACTGTAATTTCATAAAATCTGCAGTCTATGTATTATACAGGGTATTCCGCTTAAAACAAGCCACATAAATATCTTCTTTATCTGTGATCATACGAGAAACATTTTTCACGTAATTTAAATGGTTTCAAGAGACGAATTGGATGGCGGCAAAACTTTTTTATCAGTGTTATTTTTTAATGGTTTTTTCAAGGTCACCTATGTTTTTTTACGTATATGCACATAATTTTTCATGTTGTATATTAGAGCCAACATTATTGTGTATTTTTCCATGTATAATAGTATGATCTTAAAATGACCATGAACTTTAAAAATGTTTAATTCACTTACATAATTTTTTCCACCATCTACTTCATCTCTTGAAATCATTTAAATTACGTGAAAAATATTTCTCGTATGTTCACAGATAGGGAAAATATTTAGGCGGTCCGTTTTAAGCGGAACACCCTGTATATCAAAGAAATTTAATTGAATAAAATAATAGACACAGAATTTAACAATATTGATTTTCAGATTGAATGGGTTGCTTGTTACTTAACTTTAACAGGTAATGTTATTGTGTATCTAACTCTACTCTATTTTATGACCTCCGATCAGGAAGAACATGCCGACAGTGTGTGGTGAAATATTGTACTTTGCTGTACTTGTTTATTAATTTTACACGGTAATAATTATGGTAATATTATACTGCATATAATTTAATTTCCAGTTTTCTATATACTATTTAAACACTTTCAGATTTTTTACAAGACAAACAGAAGAATATAAAATATATACTACAATGACTGACAGAAATGTATTAATTCTAAGTCATCCCAAAATTGATGGTATACTATTTATATAACATAAACATTAGTGTAAGCTGTTTATATTATAGTCAATACTAATGCTACTATGTGATCATTAAAGTTACAATTTTTCATAGCATAGAGTTTCTTACAAACTCCTTCAATAAAATTAGAGGCACAAATATAATGGAATGTATAAAATTTACATTTTATGTCTTATTAAATCTAAGTTCGTAATAACAATAATAATAAGATTAACACTGATATAATTGATTGTTTTATAAACATAATATATATATATATATATAAATTTAAAAAATTCTATGACAATATCGTCGAGTATATTTGTCACATGAAAAACATACGCCCTTACTTCTTAGCTAAACGTGGTGTGACGTGTACCTTTCTCTTGCTACAACCCCAACATCTGTAGATCTCCCTTGTGCAACAATATTCGGGTGTACTTTTCTATGAAGTGTCGCCAATAGGTTACTCTAGGCTCATATGCAGATGTTGCATGTCATATTTTTGGCTAAGAGTTAAACCTCTAGCCCGAATTTTTAACTGTTAATGATTTGAGAACAAAGCCTCCAGCACAATTTCATTATTCTCGATTTTCGTTTTATTTTAACATGTATATACAGGGTGGGTGAGTAAGTATGTCCACTTTGAATATTGCCGTTATTTGTAATAATATGACAAAATGTTATACATATACAAAACTGACACGATATAGAGGGGGGCATATTGTGACACAAACATTTTCTGCGTGGATGAAGGCATACAGGAGATTTCAAGGTCATCTTTTTTTTTTAATAGAATGCTATGTTTTTTTTATCGCGATGTGATAGCCGGTGTTGAGATGACTTCAACGAGCTATCATTGAAGGTCATGCAAGGTCAACTGTGGTAGTAAAATAAACTTTCTTACATTACAGGAGATGCTCGAAGTGGTGACCATTTGCGTCAATGCAAAGTTGTAATCCTCGTATCACTGCATCACGTGCATGTCTTATCGTTTCTCAACTTATTCTAGCACATGCTGCATTATTTCATAGGGAACTTTATTAGAAAATGTACCACTAAACGTTCGCCAAATGATGTGGTTACAGCACGACGGGTGTCCAGCACGTTATGCTCGGAGAGTAAGAGATGCACTGAACGAATTTTACCCAAATAAATGGATAGGACGTGGAGGATTAGTTTCTTGGCCACCTCGTTCTCCAGATTTAACCCCATTAGATATTTTTCTCTGGGGAGCATTGAAAAATGCTGTTTGTCAAGGAGTACCCACTACACCAGAAAATATAAAGTAACAGATAATTGCAGCAGGTGCTAGAATAAGTTTAGAAACGATACGACCTGCACGTGATGCAGCGATACGAAGATTGCAACTTTGCATTGACGCAAACGGTCACCACTTCGAGCATCTCTTGTAGTGTAAGAAAGTATATTGTACTAACACATTTGACCTTGCGTCACCTTCAATGATAGCTCGCTGAAGTCGTCTCAGCACCGGCGATAAAAAAAACATAGCATTCCATTAAAAAAATAGAGATGATCTTGAAATCTCCTCTATGCCTTCATCCACGCAGAAAATGTTTGTGCCACCATATGCCCCCCTCTATACCGTGTAAGTTTTGTATATAATATTTTTTCATATTATTACAAATAACGGCACTATTCAAAGTGGACATAGTTATTGCCCCACCCTGTATAATGACCCCTTAAAGTTTCTGGCATCAGAAACTGAACACCCTGTATATTATTACTTTATGGAGTTTTACTTTTCGTGTATACATTATACATAATAAATAGAATTTTATTATCAGTTGTCGATGACAAAGCAGGCAATGTTCGTGTAGTAGAGTAACGACATTATCATATAATTACATAATTACACTGTTCCTTAAATTTGTTTTCTGGACCAAGCCAAAGAGGCTGTGCTTCACAGTCTGACAGCTTCGCACAAAATACACAGTGAGATCAGCTTAAAGAATGGACTCAAACTTTGTAACTTGAAAGATGCTGATACTGAAGTCAAGAACTCTAAGGCGATTTGGTGCAAATTTTATATAGATAAAATCAATGGAAATGATGTAATTACAACAGACTCCACGAGGAAGCTAGTTTTAGGGTTCGCTGATTAGCTATCTTGTGACACAATGAGTGAGAGCGGCTGCTGCAAAATAGTTTGATTGGTATATGAAAATGTATTTGAAAGGAAACAAACTATTCTGACATTAACATGTACTTTGTCAGTCGATGTTAACATTATAGTTCATAATGTTTATAACAACAACCATGATCAATTTCATACAGTTACTCCAATTACTATATGTTATACGAGAAAATAAAAAATTCAATTTGGTAGATCTATCTAGTAGGAAAACGTTGGAAAGTTTGTTGCTGTTAATAAAATAACGAGAGAAGATGGTAGAGTTAATCAGTCTTTATTGACTATTAGGGGGAGGTGGAGGTTATAGCAGTTCTTATTGAAAGAGCATGTATATTCTTATTGAACAGCGTATTTTATAGATAACAGAAATGCATCTGTCCTCCTATTGGAGAAACAATATTATGCCAACTTATAATTACATTGTAGAGAATCTATATATATAAGGCAATTGCAAGATGGCTACACAAATGCATGAATTTTTAAAACTATATATCCCATAAAGGAAAAAGAATATTATTGATCATCCTGAAAGATGCCAAGAAAATAATTTTTTAACAATACGACAGAAATTGAAGATAACGAAACTTATTAGATATAAAAAAAAAAGAAACAAATTGTGTTACAATTAAACGTACTGTTATTTTAGTTATAGCACAGAATTAATGTAGAGAATCGTAATGAACAATTTTATATCAATAACATAAATATTTAGTAACAATCAAGCCTGATATTCATTTCAGTGTGACACATATACACATGATACATTCATAATTAATCAAATTTTTCTTAAAAAATGACTAGCGTTTAATGTCCATTGACAAATTAGGTAAGATTTGAAAAAATTAGTAAAGAATCTGAAAAGCATCGCACAATTTTAAGTTGTTCTAAGTGCCTCAAATTTATTTTGAAGTATATGTGGGTACTAGGTGAAGTGTCAGAAAAAATATGAAAGTATATTAAAAAAAATATATGTCATCGTTAATAGATTTTTTAAAATGATTGAAAATGTATAATTACAATAATTAGTCGAGATAGTTGTAGGAATATAGAATATCACTATGATTTTATAGACAGCATTAATTATACATTATGTGTTATTTAATATTACTTTTCATAAGATATTTATTAAGTAGTTTTTGTAAGTGATAAAAATATACAATATATAATAGTATCTATATATATGTGTTAGCATTCAATCATTTAATACAGCACAATTGCACATATATTATATAAATTATAAATTGTTCTCACAGTGCATTATACAAACTAAATTTTTTAGAATGACACTTAATTTTATTTTTATACGATTTTGATTTAACGTAGTTTAGAAAAAAATTAAATTCTGTTTTTGCACTATTTGTATTGATCTAACACAGTCCCATAAAATTTTCTTCTTAAAAGTGTTCATATACATAATTTTCATTCTCACGAAAAAATATTCCTACATGTTTTTCTAAGAAATTGCTCCAGATTGAAAGATTATTTTTACTTGTTCTTATAATTTGCTGACAATCCTCCATTTTTTCATATGCACGGTATCTTTTTTTTTTTACACAAATTTTTCGGGAACGTATCTATCATATAAAAACAAAATTAAATATATTTCAAACTCGGTAATTCATTACTGCTTAATAAATTATTAAGAATGAAGTAATTAACATTCGGAAAATCTAAGTACGCTGTATTCTTCAAGCGATTCATACATAGATATAAATGCAAATAAATTTATGAATTCATAAAAACTTTATTTTTCATATAGATAGTTAATTTAGTACATAAAATCATTTAGAATAAAATTTACTATTAAATTTTATACATTTGGTTATAAAATAATAATTCTGAGATAATTTTGTGTTATCTTTAGAATTCTCTCATGTTGGTTCTTTAGACGTGTTAATATTGTTTTACGAAAGATAGCTTGAAATGTAATTTATGGTGTTTATAAAAAAATAATTTTATAATTTATATTAATAGAGAAATTATATTTCTGGAAAAATATTTCTAATACTGAATTTTCGTCATAAACATACAGACTTAATATCAATGATTATTCATGTCAATAGGTTTAAGTTACATGAGACAGTTGATTTAAAATCTCGTCTCCCTTAATAGATTTTCATTTAATTAAACTTAAACTGTTTCCTGTAATCAAGTATGTATTAATTATGTATCTGGGTTATTTTGAGATCATTAGTGTAAACAAGTATTTAAGCAAAGTGTAAAGTGGCATAAAGAAATAAAAATTTTACTTAAAAACTTAAAAACTCGATCTTTTTTTTTATATATTTCTCACTATTAAAACATTTATAAAACTATCACTGTTAATTTTAATGTTCAAATTCTGTCATAGTAATATATACTGGATGTTGCGTATTGTGATGTGTACACGTTATTAAAAGTACGTCCAGTTTTTACATTATTACCATAATATGTACACACAGTTTATAATTACAATTGTTAGAATTTCATCCGAGCAGCAATTACATTTAACAATAAGTAACTTATTCTTATTACATATCAGACCATAGACATTGCTGTGAAAAGTATCAGAAGATTATAGTTATTGACATTATTAAACTGCTTAAATGCATAAACCTTTCACTACTGTTTGCATTCGTATCGGAGAATTAAAATCAATTTCTTATGAGTTCTGGGTAATGTACAATGTTCATTGTATACGTATATCTATTGCATTTAGCACTCAAGTTCTATGTATATTTATCACTTCATCTTTCGCATCATCACCAAGCTTATTCTGTGAAAGCAATGCGCTTAAAACATTTCATTTGATTAGAAGTTATCACAATAAAAAACAATTCCTACGTACTTATTAAAACTGCTATTCAAATGTTAATTAAGTGAAAGTTTACAACGTTCCTGGTATATAGTAATATACATAAAGCTAACTTTTCGGTAAGCCCGGGGTTTAAACGTAAATTCAAGCCCTTCGTTAAATTACAGAAATAAATTAATAGTATATGTGCGTTTGTTGACTGTAAGTTATACACGCTCGCGTAAGTTTCATAATTCTCTATAATCTATAAATTGGACAGTACTAAATCTAACACAGAGGAACTTTTGTTACATAACGTGTAAATCAAGAAATATTAAATATATGCCTTACAGGTCTTGACATTTTTTTTACAATTTTCATTAATAGTTTTTTTTTTTGTAGAAAATGAGATTGATGTGGTAAATGGATCATAAATTAAATACTAAATATTATTACTTTTAAAATGTAATAAAATTTGTGTCTGAAAATAATGAAGATACAGTACAACCTCCGTATCTGTGGTTTTATGTATCCATTTAGGGATTTCTCTGTATTTATCTTTTTTCTTATTACTTGGACTATGATTTATGTGATTTTCTTTAATTTTGCTATGTACTTCACACAGTAGGGGAAACAATCTGTTATCAATTTCGTGGAAATTACACGAAAGTAATTACTCTATACTAAATAATTTTTTCTATTAGAAATTTTATATTAACATTGAAGAATTTTTCGTTTTATTTAACGAAGACACCAACTATAGAATAATTTCATTTTTTAAATCTACAGTGCAAGCATATTTCAAATAATGGAGTTATAACAAGAAAATTTTTGTTAATTGTATTGTGACTCAAACTTCTAAGTTCCTCTGTAAAAGTAACATTCAATAATGTTTCAAGTTGTTAAGCATTTTTTTGAAGATTTTATTTTTGACAAATAATGTAGACAAACAACACCGAGTACGTTCAAGCAAATTCGTAATTCTTTCGAAATTTCATATATTGATTTCTAAAGCGAGACTATGTGAAGTTAAAAAACATGTGCAGTAGTCAAAACTGCAATGTAAATATTTAGTATACTTTCACGGACAAAAATCAGTAGATCGTAACATTTCTAATGATATACTACGGTATCATTTATATCGAATAAGTTTTTAATGTTTTCGAAAGACATGGCACTATATACATATGTCTGAACAAATTTATTACATCGAAATGTGATCGTTAGAAAATGTTAATAATACTTACTTCTGTTTCTAAACATTATCAAGATTTCAAATTATGGATATTAAAAAAATAATAATAATAAATAGGAACATAATTTAAATAAACTGTAAGTCCATTTAAAACAATATTATAGACTATGATCACAAATTATCAAATCTGTTTTAGAGTGGTGAAGTTTTCACGAATGTCAAAGAAAGTTACACCACATAATATTCTAATGTTATAAGATGTAGATCGTCAGATAAACTTTTGAAAAATTTCTATATAATACGTGATATATTATTATTTTTCCATTTATTCCTTTTTTTCTTTTAACAGTATCTTCAAAAAGTATAAGAAATATTAATATACTGGGAATTGTATTCAAATGAAATCTTCCGAATCGAACTTTCTCTTGTACTTCTAACGATTTCACTTAATTTGGTACTGTGTAAGGGATAAACTTAAGATATAAATTATAAGGTGGCCTTATAGAGAAAATATTTTAGTCGTTTCATGGTCAAAGAATTTTAAACGATCCTGTCTGGATCTGGAGTTTTAATAATCCTATTTCGAATTCAAAATGTAAGCTAATAATACCTTTGTCACAATGAAAAATTTAAAACACCCACGTTAAGCTTTGTCGATAGATACATTTTTCATGATATCATCTTTACTGATATTCTGGTTCATTTGATCATTCTCATATTCCACAAAGTCATCGAATAAACTTGGCCATGCTTCTGCATCATCGTAGGCACCAAGATCATCGCCAATGCTTTCGGCAAAATTCAGAAACATGTTCCACGTATCCCTGGGTATACCTCTAACATGATGGCACTCGAGAAACTTCAGCCATCTACATAGAAGAGGCGGTTCGCGTAATGTAAAGACAAGCTTCCACAGTACGATTGCCATGTCAGCTGGTAATATCCTTTGGCCTGAATTAACATCCAAGCCAAAACGGAACGTAAATCGGTAGAGATCTTTGAATAAATCACTATTTATGGACAACTCTTGAACGATTTCTGGTAGTCTTGTTTGTATACCACGTATACTGTCCACTTTCATCGCTTTTAAACCAGCAACGAATTCCTGACGCGTAAATTGGCACATCTGTTCGGCATTCAGTTTCCAAGCAAGAACAAGTACTTGAAATTCGTCCGGCGATAGTTGTAAATCATTGCAAAGTCTTTCTATGCCGTCTGCTAAAATTACATCTTTGTGCGGATCCTATTAGTAAGAAATCGTATTTCAAGTGTATATTTTCGATTAAAACTTTTATACATCTAATTCTGGTTTTACACGTCAGACACGTTCCCAAAAAATCCGTATAAAAAAACTGAGGTTAATCTCCCTATTTCTAATCATGTAAGAGTTCTGCTATCGCAAAAATTGATATTTATTATTTATTTATGCAACAATCGATAAAAAAAACTTTAATATTAGACATAAATTTTAAACCTCCCTTTATAATTAAATTTAACTAAAATTATTTAAAAAAATTTTTAAAAGTAAAACGCAGCGTTCACGTGTAACTCACGATCGCAACAGAATCGCTCAAATCACATTTCCTTACGATGGACAGACACACTTATTAAATTTATTTCTGTCAACATGCTGCTACTTATTGAACACCAAGCTGTAGCATTTTGTACGTAAATACTGAACTAATTGAAATAATTTTTCATTTAACTTTTTGCATTAAATAAAAAATATAAGTACTGAGTAGAAATCGGGACGTGATTAGAAATAGGGACATTGACCTTACTGTGTACATGAAAAAATGAAGTTTCCTCTGGACAATAAGAACCAGTAAAAATAATACGATAAAGAAATTATAAATTTTCGTTTAACTGAAAGCAATTTCCTAGAAAAATGCGTAGGAACTATTTTCTATATAATTGAAATTGAGTGAAAATCTTTAACCAAGATATCCAAATCCGTATTAAATCAAAACAGATTGTGCAAAAAAGAAAATTTTATATTCTTTCTAAACCGTGTTAAATTGGAATCATAAAAAAATCTGTGTAAAAAAGGAATTAAGTGTATTTACTAGAACACAATGAAAATCCAAATTTAAAGTTTACCTTATATTGGTCGAATAATGCATTTAATTTGCTCTCCGATTCTCTCTGTTGTTTTGATTCAATTGTTACAGTCAGTCCAGATGACTGTCCAGACCTACCTAATGGCGGTAAACATGTATAAAATCCTCTTGACAACCGTAAATTATTTTGTACACTGGGCATGGATCCACAATTATCAGATCCTACGTTATTGAATGTCGATAATGTTGTGATGGATTTTCTGTTTCCATTTATGTGTGGTTCAGGCACTAATGGCCCACTTTGTTGGCAAGAATTTGGGAACAAACCCCTAAGTTCCATTGTTTCTACAACCATTATAACAATTATGTTCAACATTGTCAGTGTCGTATAAAAGTATAATTACAAATTGATGTGTATTGCATTTTATTAAATATAAATAGCAGTGAAGTCGATAATACAACTGTACAAGAAGTCATTCAATCTATAAAAATGTAAATAAAATTGAATTTACAGACTCTGTACGTATAGTTAATATTGTAATAAGTATTGATAGTATATTTAGTGATAATTTCATTAAGTATTTAAATACAACAAACAAGAAAGACTCATCCATCAACGAATTACAGAAATGATTACCGTCTTTTTGTTCCAATGACGAGGAGTGATCAGTGGTGGCTGGTGGAAAAGGCACCTTAAAGCACGAAAAACAGTTTCCCATTGATGCTGTCCGTACTTAACATCAAACACAATTATCCTATGCATCAGTACTTCAGTCTTACATTGGCAGTCTTAATCAAAATCTAAACCATAAAACAACATAATCGTTTTAATTATTTACGTTAACACCAGCAGAATAATTCATTCTGAAGTGTGGTTGCTTAATACATAGAATACAATAAATTTCAAAAATCAAAGGTCGACAAGATTAATTTTCAGTATCTATTATCCATACTTTAAAATATCGCCACTTTTTGATAGTTCAGAGCTCTCAAAATTATATTCTGATACAGACATTTAGAGTACAAATATCATTTCATATACTACACTAATATTTATACAAGGTATTCATTCTAACAGTCCGCACGATTTTTCCGCCGTTTGCAACAATGTGAAAAAAAAAATTTTATTAATCAAAGTTTATCTGCGTTGAGTGGACAACATACAATGATAAGAAACATTTTGAAAACACATTTTTTTTCATAACAAACCCTGGTCATCATGGGTCTGGTTTTTTAAAATGAAACCATATAATTTTTTTTCCATTACAAAGAATCCTCGTTGAGTGTGCGAAGGCTCCTCGGCACTGAGTGTTCAAATGTCATCCTTTGTATCAAGCGCATACTTTGTACTTTGTTGCAGAAGCTCGGCTTCAAACGGAGCAAAAAAAAACAAATTTATGAGGTGCTGACGACTTTTCGCCTCTCACGTGAATGTTCCGTCGAGGAACCGAGCCACCCCCCCCACACTCAACGAGGATTCACTGTATATTGTAGGGGACATTAAGGTAAATTCTTGACTACAAAATGTGACATATATTTAAAATAAAAATTTTTGATTCCCTTATGTTTTGTACTAGAAGCATAGATAACGTATGGGCAAGTAGCATAAGTAATAAGGTATTTGTCTACCAGTAGGATGTTTCATTTTATTGCCACATTTGAATCCTGTTCAACTCTCTTATTCAATGTCTAATTTTTTGTACGTTCAATGTATTTATTACTGTACATGGTTAATAATATGCGAATAAAGATTAAATATAAAATTATTTAAAGTATAAATTATATTTATTTAATATTTTATTCGAAACTATGTGTAAGCTTGACCAATATCTGTTCTAACAGATTTTTATATACACCAAACGATGCATCTGCCTTTTACTAGATAGAAATGGAAAAATTCTAATAAACTATCAGTTATTTTAAACCATACAAAAGTGAAAGTATTATGAATGAATAAGAGAAACAAGAAATTTATACTTGTAAACACAAATCCTTTATTAGGTGCTCAAACGTTAAAAAAATGTTGCATGTAGTTTTTATAAAAATTGTGTACCATGTACAGTAATCAAAACAATCTGTGTCTTAACATCATTTCTAGCATAAACAAAGAGACTAATGCATATATAGTTCTAAACTTTTGGTTGATAGTGTACATAAGTACAGTTCTCACTGTTGAGGCTTTTGGGTGTGAGCCGTGTCCTTGTGGAATTGTTTTCCCTATGTTTCGCAAGTATTGCAGCTAGACCTCGACCCACTGATGAAGGTATCTGCAATACTTGCGAAACATTGGGAAAACAATTCCACAAGGACACGGCTTATACCCGAAAGCCTCAACAGTGAGAACTGTATGATGCCAGGCCATGAAAGCCTCAAATCTCTGAGTGTACATAAGTATTGAGAATAGGATCTTCATTCATGTCACATTTTTCAGTCAAAATGATCTTGAAAACAATCTATTAAAGTTTTGTACATTTGTTACGACAACTAATATGTAGTATATACATATATGTAGTAAATAATGTAAAAATTTCGTACCATAGTATAGTTTTCAAGGCTGGATTTCAAGACATAAAAATATGTGATAGAAAAACGTGTGTATTAAATGGATTTTTTACCTCATTATTAAGGAGGACTTTTGGTCTACCTGGGTCACGATAACTCCAGTAAAGACCCCCCGCAAAATATCTCGCTGTATCCACATTCATAAATTCTCATTTATTGGAAATTTTGCAACTTTCATTTGTCACAGTCGGAATTACCAAGATTCTTCGATTCCAGCCTTTTCGATCATCTCCTTTGCATGAGTTCCAGGTCTGAATTGTATTCGATCAAATACAACTGTCATTTGTAACAACGTAACCTCACAAAATGATATAGCGATACTATTATTCCATGAACAAAGCATCCATTCGTTTCCAATTATTCGATGGATCTGTATCAATGAAACATCGCCATGAAAGCACAACAATAAAGATACATGTATATTGTTCGCACTTTAATGAATAACAGGAAAATCCCTTTGCAGAAGAGCAACAACGATACACTTTTCGTAAATTCAGTGCCGATACACCATAAAAATAAGAGTCACTAGTAAGATGACACGTATGTCAAAAAACCATTAAGTCGGTACTGGTCGGTGCATATGAAATATGACTTTTACTGACAGGTACATTTGGTTACATTTTTATAAATAAAAATTATTTACAGCTATGACCACGTGCAAGTTAATTTAATGCCTGCTTCGGATCTTTTATGAGTTTCTCTTTATCATGACAGCACAACTATAATTAAATAACTTAAACATTAATAGATGAAGTTATCAGTTGTAATCGATTACAATTACGATATATTTTAACGATCGTTATATATATAGGTGTATGTGTAATTGAAAATTATAAGTCAAATTTAAAAATAAACATTTAGGATTCTAGGAATTATATTTTTATTTATTTTTTTATACAAAATGTAACAGAACGACAGAAGACCGTATTACGTGTAACCTTCTTCTTAATTTTGAATTATAAAATTTAAAGTATTTAAGTGTTTCAATAATGGTAGTATTTTGTTGCGGAATGTAAATACCCAGTCAGCCAAACCTGGAAAGCCATAATTTTGTCCAATGTCTGTTATAATGTTACGTACTCAACATGGCTACAAGTTTGATGCAAGATCTGCTACCAAGAACTTGCACGGAGATTAGCAGCAGATTAGCATCAAGTCTTGCAATATAGCCTAGGTTATAACAGTTATAACTATAGACATATATAAGGTGTAACAAAAATGTTGTCCGACCCGAAAATGGGCACTCAGGGGGTGAATTGGAAGAAGTTTTTCCTTAGCAACAATGTAATCTGAGGCTTCGTTACCGAGATATTAACGAAAAACCCCGACCAATCAAATCGCAGCGCGTAGTAGGTGTAGCGTAATAGGGTATAGCGTTCAAAATCAAATCTAGGGAAATAATTCAACGGTTGTGCAACCGTTAAGTGATTTCACTAGATTTGCTATCGCTCACCTAGTAGGGTGTAGCGTTCAGAGTCAAATCTAGTGAAATCACTCAACGGTTGCACAACGGTTGTGTCTTCTGAAACAGCCATTAAACGGCGAGTTAAGGAACTAGAGGAAAAACTGGGGATTACCCGGTTTAACCAGCCTGTTATAGAATTTTATCAAATTTCATAGTAGCCGAGGATTTTATTGCATTGTGTTCATTAACGTCAATTGGGTAGAGCTGGAGCAGGCACAGCACAAGTATACTCATGTAAGTACTTGTGTGACTGATATTGATTAAAAATTGATTCCGTCGCAACAAACAATAGCAGTTTTGCTTATTCTCACGTGATGTAATTTCTATTGGTTCAATTTATGGCGAGCAGAAGCGTACTTACTTGAAATAAACCTAATTGTAAGGGTAAACCCCTCTAGTAATAAATTTTGTAATTTTTAATTTAAATTAAATTATGTAATTTTAAAAGAGTTTTTGACTGTTTTAAGATCGACATAGTTTCCAACGTTTTTTAAAGTCCTTAGAACTCTTAGATTATAAAAGTCTTAGTAGTCTTAAAATTTAAAACATCTTAAAAATCTTAGTCTAAATACTCTATTATACATTCTACTATCTAATTTAAACGTAATTATTATACATTATTTCCATATAATTGAAGTTTAATTTTGATATTCAATTTAAATATAAATAATAAAATAAAATAAGACTTTAAAGAACCTTTGAAATTAACAAAATTATTCAAAACTATTATGGATAGGCTCTTTCCAAAATGTTCCAAGACGTTTTGTATCAACTTGAACTCATCACTACCCGTTCTTTTATTAATTTAAATTTAAATGAAACATTATTGTGCAAAGTCTTCGTATTTTGAAATAGCTAAATATTTCACAAAAGTTTTTCTTTATTATTTAGATTAGAACAATAATTAAGCAAAATTTGTGGAAGGTTGATTTTATGTGCGGAATAAATAGATTCTTTTTTATATCTGGTTACATCCCTGAAAGAGTCACGTGCTGTTGTTGTGACGCAGTTCATCTTGAAAGTAGCATCAAGTATATCGCATGGTCCTGCATGGTCCTGCATGCTCCTGACAGTTGCATGAAAGAAATATGAAGTTGCATCATTTTTACCAGTAAATTTCATTAGAAAGTGCCATTGTTGCAATATTTAAAAAATTTGTTATTTATTTTTACAATTTCGGTAATGTTATGTTTAATGATTTCCATCGAATTAGTAACATGTTTAGAAAAGAAACTATAATTACTAACGGTTAAATAATTTTTTATTTAATGTTATGAATTTACATTAGTTGAAGGTTTCTAAACATGTGCTAACCATAAATGTGTGAACAAATGACAAATGCGTATATTTACATTGATTCTACGCTTTTTACTGTCAATTGTTATTGTCGTTCTATTGTTACGATTGTTACTTTGGAAGGAGAGTTCGTTATTTCTTTTTAACTTAAGTTTATTTTTGTTAAACACAAAATCCGATTCAAACAAATTCACGTACATATTTTTAAATTATTGACATTAATTATTAATAAATCATGGATGTGTTTCCATATAAATTGAAATTATTTTAGTTGTGCACACAGATTATTCTATTATATTGGGTTTATATTTTTGTTTTACTGTCAGTCATATTTTTGTTTCATTGTTATCATAATTTTCGAAAAACAGATCGTATTAGAGTGATATATTACACATTACATAATAGCAAATACATAATTGATTGAATAAACTGTTTTCATGTTTACATAACAAATGTTTTTGTATGAACAGAAATTCCCATTATTTATGCATTAACCCGATATATTGGCAATATAGAATTACTAATAAAAGACTGTTGAGTAATGATTATACAAAAATTACTGTAGTAGATTATAATAAATGGATTATCATTATTTGTATGTTTCAGATAAGTTTCATTGATACACTCTAATAAAATGTTGGAGTTACCACGTATTACAAGATCAGTGCGATTGTACACAAATCTTGGACGTATTAAAAGTACAGCAGACTTAGAACCAAATGATTTACTTAAAAAACAGGCAGAGCAATCTAAGCTAAAGAGGTATATTTTTGATTAACATTTTATGTATTTACAACATATAGTACAAAACAAATATTTTCAAGTATAAATATTTCTTGTTATAGTATTTGAAAGTGATGCTATTAATTTTAAATAAGAACTTGGTCTGTAGAGGAGAATATAATGTGCACAATGATTATAGTAACCAGCTTGGATTATAGATCTGTTGCAAATGTTGCATAAAAAATACATAGAGAATAAATTTACATGTTCCTGTAGATTTCAATTTGAAAAATTCGAAAAATATAACTGATTGAATTAAAAGGAAACAATACAGATTTCGCCAGTGAACGAACAGTATTAAGAAAATGAATATTTCTACGTAATGGTGGGAAAATTGTTTGAATATGAAACAGGGAATTGAAAAACAAAATCAATATTTAATCATTTGCTTGTTTCAATAACTTAATTTACTCATTTTTATAGATAATGTTCATTCATTGGTATGTGTTCATTTACTGGTGCATTCACCCCCCTTTCATTCATACTTTGTCAAGCCAAACATAAGAAACACGTGTCTGGTGTGGTACGCACTGTTACGAATTAAATCATAAAGCAAAGGATTGAAAAATGTTTTCTTTTAACTTCCTTGTTTATTTTCTTGAATAATATACGTTATTTTAAATATAATTATTTAATATGTTAATAAATATTTGTTTCATGTTAATATATAGCGAACTAAACTGGCATGGTTTGGTCAGCTGCTTTCCGAAAGATGTCAAGCGTTATTTGGATGAGTTGCGGCGGATTTGTGCGAAAATATTTGGTGCGTAATAATTTACAGTGAGATAAAATAAAATACTATTCCTAATTTTGTCTTATTTCAGATGATTGTCCTGTTGAACTCGTCCATGAATTTACGATATTTACATTGTATTTATTAATTGACGAAGAATGCATGACACAAAAAGTATTTAATATGTTAAAGGAAAGAGCAGGGAACTTAGAACATCAAGATGCTGGTAATATAATGAAGGTGAACGCATGTAATCTTGTAGAAGTTTCATTCATACTTTAATATCATGATTAATGCAAGAAATTGACTTTTTGTATTATACCAGTAGTCAGCAGACTATTTTTTTTAACTGTTACAAGCTGTTGTTTTGTTTTCACAGATAATTTTATTGATTCGAAAAAACTTAAGTGAAGATATGTTGACCTTATTAAGAAATAACAAGGAAAATATTAATAACAAGGAGACGTCTGAAAACAAAGTATTTGACGCAAAGTTCGTCTACAAACCTGCTAGGGCAATATGGCCAAACACTATAGCACTTCGTAGTATGTCATCGGAAAGTATAAGTGAACGAACAAACAATTTTACAATGAATTACAATGACTACATAAGTAAATCATGCAAAACTGAGGTATGTATTAAACTCGTTTAGTTTCATATTAACTTCCTGGTCCATTGAAAAATTGAATAAGTCGTATCGTTATTTTAGTTTAATAAAGCAAGATGCAAAGAAGGTTTGAAGTTGTGCCACATGAAGTATTTGGAAATGATGTCTTTCGACGTTTTCGTGAAGTATATAATGGATGTACTCAAAACTTCTGGCAATCAGCAAAATGATTTACTTGATTTCTTAGGTTGCGAACAGATAGACTTTATACAGTATATTATTCAACATAAAAACAGTATTACAGCCTTAGCTACTGGTCCTTGTCCTGGTATAAAAATACCGAAGGTTTCTCATGGACAAGGACCAGTAATTAGTGGTCAAGTAACTGTTCAGTCTGAAAAAGAAAAGTATCTGCGGAAACAAATACGAAAAGAAGAGAAGAAATTAAATAAAATGTCGGGTAAACGTGAAGGAAATGACATTGAATCGCAAGAACTGTATTTGAAGAAACAGGAAGCATTAATCGAGTCACGTACACCTATATTCAAGAAAGATACTTATTCCAGTAAGAATGTACGAGAAAACTTTCCCTTCGTATTTGACTCGAATACAAACAGTAGGTGTACAAATGGTTATGTCTCGGGTCAGAAAATAATGTTGCCAGAAAATGTTGCAAGGGAGGATACGAACACAAAGGAAGAAGTTCGTATACCGATTCCAGAATTACAAGAAATTAATGTCAGTTACAAACCCATTAAGATATCCACGTTAGATGATATCGGGCAAATGGCATTCAGCGGAATCGAAGAGCTAAATCGAATACAAAGTATAGTGTTCGATGTAGCGTATCATACAAATGAGAATTTGTTGATTTGCGCGCCAACCGGTGCTGGAAAAACGAACGTTGCTATGCTGACTGTTATACATCAAATAAAACAACATATTGAACAGGGTCAGTTAATGAAAAATCAGTTTAAAATCATTTACGTGACGCCTATGAAAGCGTTGGCAGCGGAGATGACGACGAATTTTGGTAAAAGACTCGAACGCCTTGGTATATCGGTTCGAGAACTGACCGGTGATATGCAGTTGACCAAGTCGGAGATCCAGCAAACGCAGATGATTGTCACTACGCCAGAAAAATGGGACGTTCTTACTAGAAAAGGGGCCGGCGATACTTCCCTTACTCGCATAGTAAAGTTGTTAATTATCGACGAGGTGCATTTGTTGCACGGCGACAGAGGGCCGGTAGTTGAAGCACTGGTCGCCCGAACCATAAGACAAGTGGAATCGTCTCAAAGTATGATCAGAATAGTCGGGCTGTCAGCGACTCTACCGAATTACGTGGACGTTGCAAAATTTTTAAGGGTGAATCCATATAGAGGCCTGTTTTATTTCGATCATCGTTTCCGTCCAGTGCCACTTAGTCAGACGTTTATAGGTGTAAAAGCAACTGCACCGTTGCAACAGGCGACTGATATGGATCTCATATGTTATGAAAAGGTTGTAGAGTTTGTGCGGAATGGACATCAAGTTTTGGTGTTTGTGCATGCACGTAATGCTACTATTAGGGTGGCGACTGTGCTGAAAGAGTTGGCTATGAAACATAACACATTAAAGTTATTCATACCTGATGGCCATGCAAAGTTCACTAGAACGGCTTTTGCCAAATCAAACAACAAGCATCTGCTCGAGTTATTCAATCACGGGTTGTCAGTGCATCATGCCGGTTTGCTGCGCGCGGAGAGAAATCAAATTGAAAAATTCTTTTCTGACGGACTCATTAGAGTACTAGTGTGTACCTCGACATTGGCCTGGGGCGTAAACTTACCTGCGCATGCCGTTATCATAAGGGGAACGGAAATATATGATTCACAACGCGGCTCGTATATCGATTTAGACATATTGGATGTCCTGCAAATTTTTGGACGTGCTGGCAGACCGCAATTCGACACTGAAGGTCACGCAACCATCATTACTGCCCATAGTAAGTTGTATCATTATTTGTCGTTATTGACGAATCAGATACCCATCGAGAGTAATTTCATTAAATATTTGGCCGACAATTTGAATGCGGAAATTGCATTGGGCACAATATCCAACGTAGAAGAAGCTATACAGTGGTTGAGTTACACCTATTTATTCGTTCGGATGCGATTGAATCATCATGTTTATGGGATTCCGTATCAAGTCACAGTAGACGATCCGAATTTGGAGCAAATGAGAAGGGAACTAATCGATATATCAGCCCGGTCATTGGATCAAGCGAAAATGATCCGGTACAATCAGAATACTGGGGATCTGAATACGACAGATCTGGGACGTATCGCAAGTCACTTTTATCTTAAATACGACACCGTACAAATTTTCAATGAATTGATCAAAGCAATTATGACCGAGGCAGACGTACTCGCAATGATATCCCAATCCCAAGAGTTTAAACAGCTGAAGGTGCGCGACGATGAAATTAACGAGCTGCAATCTATGTTCGACGATTGTTGCGAACTCGAAGCGAAAGGTGGTGTGGAAAATATTTACGGTAAAGTGAATATTTTGCTGCAAACATATTTATCGCGCGCTCGGATCAATACATTTTCATTGATATCGGATCAGGCGTACGTTACACAGAATGCCGTACGTATATGTAGAGCGTTGTTCACGATTATGTTAAGGCAAAATAACGCGATAATGTCCGGTCGGCTGTTGGAAATAGCGAAAATGCTCGAATTGCAACAATGGAGTCATAAGACACCGTTGCGCCAATTCTTTTGCTTGCCATTGGAAATTATTAATAAAATAGAAGATTATGAGTTAAGGATTGAGAGATTGTATGATATGAATGTGAAAGAAATCGGTGATATTTTGCGTAATCCGAGGGCAGCGGTGCTCGTCAAGAAATGTTGCGAGGAGCTGCCCATGATAGAAATGGAGTACAGTTTACAGCCTATCACCCGCAGGATTTTAAGGATACGTTTGAAAATATATCCTCAGTTCCAGTGGAATGACAAAGTTCATGGTAAAACCTCGGAGCCATTTTGGATATGGATAGAAGATCCAGATACTAATTTCCTCTATCACCACGAATACTTTGTCTTAACAAAGAAGATGGTTTGCAATCAACTTGAACAGGAGCTTGTGATGACTATACCATTGCAGGAACCACTACCATCGCAGTATATAGTGAAAGCAACAAGTGATCGTTGGCTAGGCAGCGAAAGCATGACACCCCTTACATTTCATGATTTAATACTACCCGACATATATCCACCATTTACAGATTTATTGGATTTGCAGCTGTTACCAGTGAAAGCGTTGGCACATCCAGTGTTCGAAAGACTCTACAAATTTACTCACTTCAATCTGATACAAACACAAATCTTTCATTGTTTGTATCATACGGATAACAATGTACTGTTGGGTGCTCCAACTGGTTCTGGAAAAACAATTGTTGCCGAAATAGCTATGTTTAGGGTCTTCAAGGAATATCCTACACAGAAAGTTGTATATATTGCGCCCCTGAAAGCTCTAGTTAGAGAACGAATAAAAGACTGGAAAATTCGACTTGAAGAGCAACTTGGAAAGAAAGTGGTGGAATTAACTGGTGATGTAACACCAGATGTTAAAGTAATAGCTAGTGCGAATGTTATTGTAACTACACCAGAAAAATGGGATGGTATCAGCAGAAGTTGGCAGACAAGATCATACGTAAAAGATGTTGCACTCATAATCATAGATGAGATCCATCTATTAGGGGAAGACCGTGGTCCTGTATTGGAGGTTATAATCTCGAGAACTAATTTCATCTCTTCTCATACCAAGAAGAAACTAAGAATTATCGGACTGTCCACAGCGTTGGCCAATGCAGTGGATTTAGCCAATTGGCTTGGTATACAGAATATGGGCCTGTATAATTTCCGGCCAAGCGTACGACCTGTACCATTGGAAATTCACATAAACGGATTTCCTGGAAAGCATTACTGTCCTCGAATGGCAACAATGAATAGGCCAACTTTTCAAGCGATCAGACAACATTCACCATGTAGCCCAGCACTTGTATTCGTTTCGTCACGTAGACAGACACGGTTGACAGCACTCGATCTGATCGCTTATCTTGCAGCAGAAGATAATCCTAAACAATGGTTGCACATGCCTGACGAAGAGATGAATAACATATTAGATCATGTACGAGATTCGAATTTGAAACTTACACTTGCTTTTGGAATTGGGCTTCACCATGCTGGTCTTCACGATAAAGATAAAAGAACTGTAGAGGAACTGTTTGTTAATAACAAGATTCAGGTACGATTTTCTCAAATATTGAACAATATAACTGCATATAAGATTCTTTAGTATGTATAAGTTTATTTACAAATTCAATGGTAATTTCATTCTTTATTCTTGACTCCCTGGTTTGCTTCAGTTGTTTCCAATGTGTTGCACATTCCTCTAGGTATTAATATATTTACCATTATTTATATCTATAATGTTCTGCATCTATTAATATTTATATCATTATTGGTCAGAAATGCCGTAAAAGTCTATTCACAAAGATTTGTGCGAGGTTATGCCTAAGAAAATCTTTAAATAGCTTCTAGTTTTGACAGAATAAAGAAATATATTGAGTCCTGATTATAGTTAATCGAAATAGGAGCCTCATTTCATACGTATAATTCATATAAAATTGAAATAAAATATCCTGTTTTTGTAATTTCGATAATATAATTCTTTAAAATATATTTAAAATATTCAGATTCACAATTTCAGATGCTAATTTTTGTATAAATGTTATTTAGGTGTTGATTACTACAGCTACATTAGCTTGGGGTGTAAATTTCCCTGCTCATTTGGTGGTGATAAAAGGAACCGAATATTACGATGGTAAAACAAAACGTTACGTTGACATGCCAATTACGGATGTGCTTCAGATGATGGGTCGAGCTGGTCGACCGCAGTTTGATAATTCTGGTGTGGCAGTTGTTTTGGTGCATGATTTGAAGAAAAACTTCTATAAAAACTTTTTGCACGAGCCATTTCCAGTTGAATCAAGTTTACTGGCAGTATTGCCAGATCATATAAACGCGGAGATTGTGGCTGGTACAATTAAAAACAAACAAGAGTTCTTAGATTACTTAACATGGACCTATTTCTTTAGGAGACTAATGAAAAATCCTAAATATTATGATTTACATGCGTTGGAGCCTCATACGATCAATGAGTACTTATCCTCTTTAGTGGACAATACAATACAGGTGTTGATGGAATCACATTGTATTGATTTTGATGAGGTATGCACTGTTAAATATATTCACTAAATCGCGATAATAAAACGTATATTATTTATAATAATGTTATTAAAATTCTTCTGATTTCAGAGCGAACAAATTATATATCCACTTTCAATGGGTAAAATAGCATCATTTTATTATCTCACGTATAAAACCATGCTGATGTTTGAACAGTCGTTAAAGGATGGATTGTCATTGGACGATTGTTTACGTATTTTATGTAATTCTAATGAATACAATGAATTACCTGTAAGACACAATGAAGAATTATTAAACGAGTAAGTTATAAATCTTATTAGCTAAAAGCAAAACAAACCAGAGAATATACTCCAACTTATCTCGTTATTTAACAGGGAACTAAGTAAAATGTGTCGTTATAGAGTAGATAATTACTCATACGATTCTCCAAATACTAAAGCATTCCTGTTACTCCAAGCACACTTTTCAAGACTTCCATTACCATGTACAGATTATACCACTGATTTAAAACTAGTTCTTGATCAAGCGATCAGAATTCTTCAGGTATGTTTAATTAAAACACAAATTTCTCTATGCCTATGCAAAACAGATAATAACTCACTCGCTGGATGTAGGGTCATTCTGACCCAATGACCACCGTTCATCACTATACTATTCGTTATAAGACATTACAGTCACTCAGAAGAATCTGATTATTCCACATCAAAGAGCTCCTGGAATAATTTTCCGCGGGTATCCGAGTGTCATGGTGTCTTATGTAAATGTCGACGCGTAATTTCAGGACTTTCCTTGAATTTTACAAAATAGTGTATTCAACTAAAACATTTAAATTTTAAGTTTAAGAAACCTGTTTTAATTTTTTATTTAAAGAGGGATTTAGTTAATTATATTGAATACATTTAGTTAAACTGTATTTAAATGTGCGTGACTTTCGTAAATCAGTTTCTTCATCTGCGCTTTTTTTCGTAGATATGGATGCATGACGTTTTGTTATTTTTTTTAAAAAACGAAACTAGCATTTTTAAATATTTTTTTTATTACAATGGATTATTTCAACTTTTGACTAACACAAAAAGTCTTGAAATTTCGGAACGATACTTACGTTGAACACCCTGTATACCTTCCTAAACTGATCCTTCAACATCCTCACGTCTAAAGCATGGTCTGCTAGGTAGCCTATATTGATGCAGTGATTACCACTAGCTGACTAAAGACAAAATACTACTTTCTTTTTCACTAAGTTTTCGCCGCTGCCATCCTCCATTCTGATTTCAGCCGTAAATTGTTTATTCCATTATTTCATTCTTATTACTCTACACTGATGCCGTAAAGATTTATTTACAAAATTGTATGTATAATTTCATCTTCAAAATTGCGTATAGCAAAATTTTCGCCGCGGTTCAAAATAACCCTGCATACGCTCACTGCGTCATGTTTGTACCATTCGCCGACTCAGAATTAATATTGATATAAAATACTGACCTACTATTTTCAGGCAATGATAGATACAGTTGCAGAACATGGGTGGTTAAGTACGACGCTCGTGATAATTCAGTTACTTCAAATGATTATTCAAGCTCGGTGGATTGACGAAAGTGCAATTACTACACTGCCTCATATAAGTTCAGAACATTTACCACTATTTTCACGCCTAACTACAGGTCTTCCTGCATTATGCAACGTTGTGTTTAATAGATACCATTCATTTGTTCAAGTACTTGGTAAACATTTTCAAGAAAATGAAATATACGAGGTAAATCAAATTTTGATAGTTTCAGATGATGATAAACATTTCAATACTTCAGACGATGAAAGTGTTGTGTTAGAAATATTAAACGTGTGGAGTAAACTAAGGTTAAAAGTTCTTTTATATGCGTACTTAATCTATTTTGTATTTTTTTTTTTAATTCTGTGATAGGACAAGGTGAAATAAGAGACTATGTGAAAAAATGTTACAAAATTCCTTCAACCTCTGAAGCCTTCAATTATCATTATGTTGAGCATTGTGATTGTCAAAGTATTAATTAAAAACTTTATCGATAATGTTACAGATACATCAAGTAATTAAAGCAATGCCAGCAATTTATCTTGATTTAAGTTTGAATGGACATTGGTCTGACAGTACTGCACAGAAACCAATAATGTTGAGTTCAGAAAATTGGATTTACATCGATGTACATAAAGATCACGATTATGTATTGAATATTGGATTGCGACGAAAGAATAAATCTAATAATTTAAAAGCGCATTGTCCTATGTACGAAAAGGGAAAGGACGAGGGCTGGTTCCTGATTTTAGGTAATATTTATGAGAGAGATTTATTGGCGTTAAAACGAGTGAGTGGAATAAATGACCAATGGAGACATCATCAGTTAGAATTTACGGCGCCATCGAGATTAGGTGAAGTATACTCTTGAACAGAAAAATATTCTCATTCTTTCAATCTGAAAGGATCACTAAAAGCACGGTAATAGTGTACAATTCGCTAAATATTATTTTAAAAAGGCAAAATAATATTTTTAAAAATGTCGCAATTATAAGTACCTTTAATTTCAAGTTAAATTTCTAACCGAAACCTAATTAAATTAATTGTTTATTTTCAAAGCATTATACTGATCAGTGTTGGATAGAGCTAGTTTAATACAAAAAAATACTTTTCAATGCATTGTACTGATCAGAGTTGGGGCTCTAAAAAATATCAGAGTCATAAAACAAGATTTCATCACATATTTAAACCTATTAATGAGATATACGATAGTGACACTAAGGTGAGCAGTCATTAAATAGCAATAATGAACTAAGCAGTGACATAGATGATTATTAGTATCCGATTTTTTTTTTTATTATACTACCTCTAACCAACTCTGATAATCATGATGCTTTAAAAATAAACAATTAAACCTCTTATTTGACTGAAAATCGAAGATACCGATCGAATTGTACACTATAACCAAAAGCCACTGATCTTTAGAAAATAAGCAACTAAATCATTGTTTCTCTTATAGGAAAAACAACACTGACATTTTATTTGATGTCCGATTGTTACATAGGACTGGATCAGCAGTATGAAGTACAAATAAACGTAATACCTTAATTTAATACAAGTAAAAAAACGCTCAAAAGACTGAAGGACAGTGTAAATATGTACACCTGTAACTTGTTAACTTAATTTCCATTAAAGTTATCGATTATAAACAAAATATTTTAATACAAGATATAGTTATGTTGTTTAATAAATGGAACTGTGAAAATTGTTTTAGCATCTAGAGGTCTAGTAATTAAAACTGCGATAATTTAAATATACTTTTTTAAGCATTTGTTTTCTGAATGTGCATACAAATTTACATACATCTTCCTTACATAGTACACACGACCATGAAACAATGTAAGTATATGGATTACTCTATTTATTTCTTACAAATATAAATTTCACCAGCTTAATATACAAAGATAAAAAAAAAAGCAACACTTCGAGGATCAATTTTAGAATTTCACGATGAATGAATTAATATCGCATAGTAAAAAAGATAAAAGAAAAAATATTGTTAGTTCACTTTATTACAAAACAAGTTTCATCGAGTACAAGCAAGATTTTCTATAAAAAATTTCGATCGTAACACAAACATCGGTAATTCATAAAAAATAAAAGGATATTTGTAATATCATAAAATTTCTTACACGCTTTTTTTTTATGTACTGATCCTCCTTCACACTTACATCGTTACACTGTGACAATACAATATTTGTATTGTTCCCTTTAATTTCCTACGCTAACGAGAAATAACAAGAGATTATAAGGGAGGAAGGATTTGAGATCATTTCATTGCTTTGTTTCAATGATAAAATAATTAAGTTGTACCCTATAATGTTTATGATAAATGTTCCATTTGTTATCGATCAATACAGACTGTTCACGCTAGCGATGCAGAAGAGATATGTATGTTTCAAACCGAGCTTTTTTTTAGCTTTAAGTGCACATACATCCCTGAGACGTGTAACGTGTAAAAATGCAAGAATATATATAAAAAAATAAGACTATTCTCTATTCGTTTATTCTTTCAGTATTTGTTAATGTATGTAAACGGAAGTAAAGGTTAAATGTTGCTAAACTAAACATTTAAAACGTTTTCACGCAATAAATAAATTCATACTAGTAGTACGTTTTTAAATCTCAATAAGTCCATGCAACGAACACTATCATATTTACGCGGTACTTAAATTATAATTTACAAATATGTTTGAACACTTTCTCGTAATTGTTTACAAATATATAATAACATTATTAAGTATTAATTTATTAGCGATCTCTTCTTCATCAGTAGACTGAACTCTCCCGGCTTTTCTCTACTTATAAAATACTACACTAATATTTGCGCAATCGGTAGTATTTAATCAAAGCAAAGAAATACTTAAGCTCCTTCCACAATTAAAATCTGGAAGTACTGATTATTTCTTGTAAGTAATATACCGAAATACCATTAAACAAAATAACTTTATGGTAATATATTTCTGTTATACGGTATTTATTGCAAGAATTAATGTATTCTTTCACGAGTAACTAAGGAAAATTAATAATATAATCAACTGTTATTCGATTTCTGTGTTGCTATTTTCTGTAGATATGAAAAAAGAAGAAAAATGTTTGAAAAAATCTTGATTAATGCGTTTGGATGCTTAATGAATTATTACCATCATTCTTTTAGTACTTTCTTTTCTCGTGTAAATCTCTTGTCTGGCAATGATGATGCTGAAGATGTACATCTTATCACTCAAGAACTAAGGAAGCACTGGCGTAACTAACAGAACTGTCATTCATGTTATTGCATTGATTGCTTTGAACGTATTTCAAAAACTTCAGGTTCATTCTTTGGCTATTAGTATTTCCTTTTAAACTATTAATTGCCTGTTAACAATGGAATCATAAAGTCAATAAAAATTTATATCACATTAAAAAATATATATGTATAATTGATTATAAGGTAATAGTGTACAATTCGGTCGGTATCTCCGATTTTCTTCAAACTTTAATATGTTGAAAGGGCTTCTCCAAAAAGGCAAAATATCATTTTAAAAAATGTTGCAAACAATTACAAGTACCTTTAATATCAAGTTAAATTTGTAACCGAAATCTAAGCTAAACGTCATTATAATTGCAGATTAAGTAAAGGAAGGCAAGCAGTAAACAGTAAAAAAAAAAAGAGGTTCAATTGTTTATTTTCAAAGCATTATACTGATCACAGTTGGTTTGAGCTAGTTTAATAAAGACAAAACAAATGATTTTCAAAATTGTTGGCGACATTTTTTAGAATGATATTTTGCCTCTTTAGAGAGCCCCTTTCAACATATTAAAGTTTGAAGAAAATCGGAAATACCGACCGTATTGTACACTATTACCGATTATAATAATTGATCTGAATGAATAAATATTATTTACTTGCAATAAGACACTAATAGGATGTCGACCACATATAGTGTTACCATATTTTTTAAGGTAATCCGTGAATACTGTAGGATTTAAATTTTCTATGATGTCCATACCCTACAATTTCACATACATATTCGTTAAGTTCTTTAGGCTTTATTTAAGTACGACTTATACTGATCTCACATACCATTTTGTCAAGGTTTTGAATAGATCTATGAATAGGACCACATGACATATCATAATATGTATAACGAAAACGTTGTCCCCAGTGACAAAAATCTGACGAAATAACAAATAACGTCTGTGGATCAGCCATATATGGTGCTAACAATCTTCCATAAAGTGCCTCTCTTTCTGGACTTAACGAGCCAACAAGTATAGGAATTATAGTAAAAGAATCTTTGAACCTATATCAATAGAAAATAACAGTTTACAACCGTACGTTATACTACACACCCGTCCATAGATCACCGAACACGCATGCTACTAAACGTGTAATAAGAACGAATTAGAGTTAAAAAGTTAATTCAAAATATGAAATAAACGAATTCTTATTAATTTTACAGATTGCAGAGAAAATGTAAATTATATTCAGTGTTGTGAACAATCTTAAATACCTGTTCAACTAGTGTGTTCATTGCATTCAGGAATACACTTAATTCTGTTGTTACAGGACATATATGTACGTCTCCAAAAAATCCGTGTAAGAGGTACTGTGTATATGAAAATACAGAGGATTGTCTCCAGATCATAAAAACCAGTAAAAATAATACAATCACTTCCACGAGTTCTTCGTTAATTTTTACGCGTGTTTTTTAGTCTTTTAGGATATGATTACTAGAAGTATTCGATTGTATAAAATTGGCTCGGACTATAGATAATAAATTCGCAGGTAATGCTTTGTAATTTTTTCAAAGTGATTCTGAAAGATGTTTGAGGTATGTTCGGAATCACTTATTTTACCTAAAAATAGAATAAATCAGTAACATTATGTCTAGAAATTGCATTTCTGTTTCGATTTCCATATTTTTTAAAACAATCTCAAGTGACCCGGTGACTCATGGACAGGAGTGTACATACTTATAATGTAATAAATGTAATGATCATACCCTTGCATAACCTTCGCTATGAATGGTAATTGCATTTCGATGCTGTGTTCTTCCTCATCTGTATTTAAATCCATCCATTCAAAATGTCTAGTCTCTTCAAGTTCTCTGCATACTATCGCATGAAAAGAAACTTATATCTGAGCTAATCTTTGGCAATAATTCGTCTTTACGTACGTTTTGTTTTATATTATGCTTTAAATATTAAAACAATTCGGTCTAAAAACTATTTTATCATTCTGTAGTGTGCAATTCATACCTTGTTGATCAATATGCAGATCATACAGTGGTGTTTGATAAATCGAAGCAGACGAAAGAGCACAGCCTGCTAATCTCACCTGATGCGATGGGCCCAAAATAAATATCCTGCGTCTATATAACGACACATTAGACAATTTAATATTTTATTTCGAAAGATTGTAATACATGATTAATTAACATGCACAGATGTAGTAGCACACTTAATTCTGTCTTCACACGATTTTGATTTACCACGGTCCAATAAATTTGCCTTTTTAAAAATCTTCAGGTAATTTTAATTTCAAGTACAAATATTCGTACCCATTTTTCTAAGAAGTTGTTCTCTGTTAAAACAAAATTCTTAATTGGGTTATCGCATTATTTTCACCGGGTATTATGATCTGGAGACAATACTCAATTTTTTCATATAAAAACAGAATTAAGTGTATATTATTTTTTGTTTTAATGAATAGCAGTTTTATGTAATGCTTTCATATAAATTGAATGAACAATCATTGGGTTGAATTGTAAATGACTTCTACTGTGGATGGTAGAAACTTATTCAGCTAAGAAAAATTGTAATTGTGATGAGTATATTACTCTTAATGTTTTGATTGGTAATATGTAGTTCACTATGCTGTAGAGACTATTAATAGCAAAATTAATATGTTCAGGGTGTCCCATTTTAATCTTTACACATGATTATCACCCAAACTATTTGGTATTCACATTATAATACTAAATGTAATTATAAGATTAAAAGAGTTTGGAAATTCTCATTTATCCTCCATACTTTCCTCGTATACATAGTTCCATTATACTATCACCTTGTTTTATCTTTATACAATTAAAACGATTAAATAATTTTGGAAAGGAAAAAAAAATACATTTGCAAAGGAAAAACGATTAAATAATTTTGAGAAAAGTATAGATGTATATCACAAATTTCTTTGGAGAAGAATCTATAACCTTTTAAGAAAGTGACACCAATAAGTTGTTAAATTTTATCTTATTTATCAAATACGAAAAAAATGTTCCGATCAACCTATTAGATGGAATTCTTTTTCACTGATACCTACATTTATGAATATAATTTTCTGTTTAAAACTTCTGCTACTTTTCCGTGTAACGTAAATGTAAAATAACTAAAAGAAATATAATTGGATATGAAAAGTGGAAGATAACAGCGAATTCACTCAATATAAACCCACAGATATAATAATTGGATTATGTTTCACTTGGAAACTTACACAACAACAGGACTAATCTGGCGATATGCAAAACCAGCACATGCTCCGCAATAGCTGTAACCTGCATGTCTGTGAAATTTTGTTTGTATTTCAGTAACGATTTGTTAACTTAAAGGAAATTACTTAATGTACTATATTTACTGACGGGGCAATAATTGCCCTAGCAGGCCCATGTGATAAATCTGCAGCACCCAACCAACCTTCTAATTGCTTATTCAACTCGGAACCTGCATAAAATATTTATTTTAATACATATATAATATTAATAATGTTTAAAGTAGAAACTCATAAATTCTCAAATAAATCTGAGAAGCTATTTACAACAGTAAAAATCATGTAAATAAGGAAAACAGATATAATAAAATGATATTCATATGAATACATAAATAAAGAAAAATTGCTGCATTATGTATAATATATACGCATTCTAAAAAATGTTTCAAATGAGTTTGAAATATCGAAGATTGAACAAATAAAAAATTTCTACTGGAAAACAAATGAATAAATAATGTAAATTTAAGTATGTCTTACTACGATATGTGATAAAATATGTATTATAATGTACAATAACAAAACAGTATCGTAGCAATCATTAATATTAGGTATAAATAAATAAATAATTAAATATTAATCTTTCATAAAAATATTGTATGTGAGTGTATTATCTGTTGTATTTTGTTATGATTATTCGTTTATATGCACCAACATTTGTGAACGTATGTTGGTAACATTATACGAAACGTAAACAATAAATAACTTCGATCATACTGTAATTAACAGATGCAGAAATATAAAATGCATTAAAAGTATGTTTTAAATATTACTTACCAGAGCCTGCGTACCAACTACCCGCATGAGTTGCTCTTCTAATTAATGCCATTTTTCTCTTTGTTACGTTAACTCTTATTTATTCCAGTCACTTCTCAGAGTAAACGGAGTTTCACTTTATTAATAGTTTTATGATCGATCTATACACAGCATAGATATTAAATCCTATTTACTTAAATATAAAATGTTTATAAAATTCTTTCACAAAACTTTTTGTTTAACCACAAACCATACACTCGTAATAACGTCGAACGATGTCGATAAGCAGTATCAAAAACTTGAGTCTGTAACTTTTTATATTAACAAAATAATTATAAGAAACTGAGATTTTTGAAGTTTATATGTGTATTTTTTAATTAGAAATCGATTAAAAAATTTTTCATTTAACTTAACAGTTAATATATGTATCTATCGAATTCCGCCTTTATAAAATTAATTTGTAGTTCGTATCACTGAAAATTCTTACATATCTTTCAGTAGATATGTAATTCCAATTTAAAATAAATCAATTATAATACGAACTACATTTGTTGTCTTGTCAGTTATGTTTAACGAAGGAATAACGAAATAAGCTATATTTATAATTATTATACTACCAGTAGAAGTTTGAATAATTTGAAATAGTAAACAATTGCTTATTAGCGTGTTTGTATATTTAATATTACTTAAAGTTTTTGATCAATTTCGGTAAAAAATACAATACCTTGATAACCAGTTGTATGCAAGTTTCGAGCAAATTGCCAGCAAATAATGACAAAATTTGTCTAAAAAACCATAGCCATCTGCTTTCGCATTTGACTTGGGTTTTTGCAGGCAAAGCCTGCTGCAGCCTGCTGACAAGATCGTGAAGCAAATTGGCAGTAAGTCTTGCAATACAACACAGGCTAACTAACCTAGGTCAATTTATAACCTAGGTTATATTGCAAGACTTGCTGTTAATCTGCTGCCAATCTCTGTGCAAGTTGTTGATAGCAGATCTTGCATCAAAATTGTAGCCATGTTGAGTACGTAACATTATAACAGGCATTGGACAAAATTTGATTTTGCAGGTTTGGCTGACTGGGATATTTGCATCAAACGATAATTAGACACTCTAGCAAATGCAGATATCTGATATTAGAATAGACATTTTTCATCTTCTCCGATTAAAACAACTATGCGAATAAGCATGAATAACATGTATAAAAAATCTTTCTCCTTTAGTAAATTTGTTCGTTTAAAATCTGGAATAAAATCTTTTCATTTACTAAATAACACAATTAAAGTATCGAAATCTAATGTGACTATTAGTGTTTTCATAAAATGTAGAATAAGATATGACATATCTATACAAAATGTTTTCCATGTTTGTTTACACGATTATTAACTCATTTAATTATATAACGTGTTGTAGCCAAATAATCCCTATGTTTTTGTGCATCGGATTGGATCATATTGTATTTGAAAATTCCGGTAAATTCTTCTACACATGAAATTACAACAGGTGCTTTCTAATCAAATATAATCGAAATATAAACATAAGTAATTTAATTTTGATGCATCAACAACATTACATACATTAATGATGGTGTATAATTGTTTTCGAAGTGTAATATTCTAGAGAAAACGTTCAACAATACAGTAGTCAAAATCAAGATTGAAATTCATTTACTGATTAGTAATATAAAAAATTATTACACTGATTTACGTGAAATAATTAGCCAATTAATATCTTCAACCATTATTATTATTAACCGAAATTTACAATCAGTTCGATATTGTAGATTTTGTATGTTTTCGGTATTTAATTTGAATAGGATTGTAGAAATGGTTAATATGGCAGAAATTCGTGTCTCTAGTGTTGTTTAAGTTTGTGAAACTGATTGACAAAACAGAAGTCTATTTGTTAAGAGTATCATAGATGCACACGAGAATTTGATCTTTCGGGACGTGTTAACAGAAAAATCTTCTCTGCTACGAACTACTAGTTACCCGACAGAACTTTTACCTTGTCAGATTTCATTCCAAGTCAACATCGACGTTTTTGTGTTTTTTTTACGCTCATTTACTTTGTTTATTATGAATTTAATGGATTCTTTTATGCAGTAACTTAACGACGGATTCGATAACATAGGTAATCAAATTTGGTCCATTTCTCCCCATGATATTTTGATTATGTAGACGTTATAACCTTTGCTTTCTTTGTGCTTGTTACTGATTTCTATCGTTACAATGTCAAAATTACCGCCTCTCAGTTCGATGCTTTTACGAAGTTCTTGACTTTTCTCTATGGCCCAAAATTCATTATAATTTTTAAATATTAATAAAAATAACAAGGGAAAGCCTTTAATTAACCATTTTCGTTGTATTATCATATTGCTGTATTTAATCAGTGGTTACAGTAACAAGCTGTGCCTGTTAAAATTAGTTTGATATCCTATTCATTTTCATCATTATGGATCTATGTAGAAATAGGAAAACATTCCAGAGTAATGTTCAGGTTAGTTTACGACTATTTAGAAAATACGTACATCTGTTAACATGCGTATGTTCTGCAACAACTAGTGTTTAAGAAACATCATACGATATAAGTATCTTATTATTTAAATTCATTATAAATATGTTCCTTTCCATGTTGTTATACGACTAAATAAAATATGATTTACATATTTTCACAAAGATATTTCTTTTATATGAACAACTAGTTTATAAAGCATGAGGTATTATAATTAGTTTCTTTACTATTATAATATAATACAATCCATTGTATACATTCATTTATTTACATAAACGAAGTGAGAAATAAATAGATTTTGTATGTATGATAATGTGTTAGATATAATCTTTTATTCTTTTCAACCGTTAATTATGCAGTATCTTCATGAACATGAATTCTTCCCTTGCCCATAGGTCCATTCTCATTTCCTGTCTTCAATTTTGATATGACCAAAGCATTGGTGCTGCAATAAAGAGGTAACACTTCAAACATAAGCGCAAGTACAAATATAAGGAAGAATTCTCTCAAACTTTTTTGGTGTAATAACTAGCAATCAATAATTTATGTTACAAAGCTTTTTTTTTCTGTCTTGTCTTTACAGGTTGCTACTAGGAGTTATTGTCATGGATTTTCCTCAGTTCCATGAAGTTGAACAACTTACAAGGGACGCAAGAGAAAACAAGTGATCGTGTGGTAATTGACATAAAAGTGTATCGGTGTGCCCCAGCAGGTACTTTGTAGTGGAGCCATCAGGCTATGGCCAACCTGAACTTTGAGCAACCACCACGCAGTATTGCGAACGCAAGCCTTACATCGCGTGCGGGTGGTGGGGGGGGCTTAAATTCGTCGACCCTGACGGGTCATGTCACGCCTACCTCGGGCATGTTCTCAGGCTCGTCGACAAGCACTTCAAGTTCAGCCAATTCTGCAATAGTAGTTACTAACGTTTATCCTGGAGCATCGGGGGCTGGGGGTGGACAGAATAATCATCAACCTCAACAGCAACAGCTCTCTCCTATGAGCAGTAGAGGACTGTTTGGGCAGAGAGCTTTTACAGATAGACGTACGATGCCTGCTCTTGGGTTAGTTTTGTTTATATCAAGTCGTTGGAGGAATCTAACTTCTGTTGGTTGTGTAATTTCAATATCACAATACCGTTCAGTACAATACATTCTATGTTTTGTATGAAAGAATGAAATGTTCATAAAAATTTATAGAACATCGAATCCAATGGGTAGCATGGGCACTTTTGGAATACCGCAAAGTCGTAATTACGGATCTCAAGGACAAATTAATAATTTCCACTCTGTTTTTGGCAGTGGAGGAGGCGGAGATACAAGTACTCCTCCATTGTTGGATCTGTCTGAGTTTCCTTCATTAACGAACAGAGGACAGGGTGACTCTATGCCACAACCTAGTCCCATGCCAGGGAAACAACCTTATGGTATGTATTAATAATTATTCAAGTATTAAGACAAATGTCACATGTGACGGTCGAATGGTTATAAAACTGAATGGAATACTAAAGTTCTACTAGTTCTGGGAATGTTTGACTTCTGGAGACATCAACTGTTTAATTTCTTTTTAAATAAGGATGCCGACGAGGGAAACATACGAAGTGTATCCCGAGTTTTTTTTATTAAATTCTTTCGATCTCACTTCTGAGAAATTAATTGTTAAAAATGCGACAATTTTAGTGGATAAGTGTCAACCCGGCGGATGTAACACTTATCGGCAAAGCGGCACAGCATCTAAGGCGTCAGGCTACGAATTCTCTCGTTTGGTTTCGCTTGGATTCGAATCTCTGATTAACAATTTTTTTTTTGAGAAATGATTGACACTTATCCACTAAAATTTTCGCATTTTTAACAATTAATTTCTCGAAAATGAGTAAGACGTGCGCCTTATTACTTTCAGAGATTGTTGTAGATGACATCTCTTGCATCTTAAAAAAATTTAATTCAAAAACTCGGGATACACTTCGTAGGTTCCCCTTGTGAGGTGATACAAAAGTTACACTGATTTTCTTCCAAGTGGCAACTATATATTTCTGAAAACGCCTTTATGACTGATTCATTTTTTCCAGAGTAAGAGCTTCAATTTGTAGTTCATGTTTGTATGGTGCTTCAGAAAGAACAGAGTTATGTTAGTATAGTTTATTGTCAACAGTCAGAGATCTGTTGAACATTTTGTATAATTCTTAAACAGTGGAACAGCCAACTCTTGGGTACACCAAGGGGGGTGTGCAAGAATGGACAAAAGTGTGTACAATATTTTAGGTTAGACGGAATTGTTTCTACAGCGCTACAGCGGGTTGTTATAAACTACGAATTAAGAAATGGAACTTTGATATTTTATTCAGTTTTAAGACGAGTTTGACTGTGACATATTTAAGTACAAGGAAAATTAGCTGAGGAGGTATCTAGTGGAAATACAGTAATGCCCCGTTAAACGTTAGACCAAGTAGGTCCCTTACAAGTTTCTACATTAGTCTTTATTACTGAGGAGGGGGGAGAGGTCCCATTGGAACCAGTCAAGCGGGTAACGTAACACGTCAGCGGCTTTCCTTTCACAAAGCGACGTCTTAAAGTTTGGGAGTAAAAAAAAACAATTGATAGCTGCGTATCGGTGAGATAACTAATGCTGCGATGAAACTTTTTTAATTCCTGGTTCTTTGTTCAACGAGCATTTTATTAACATTTTGGTTAATATTTTTCTAATTAAAATGATACCAAATACGATACTGATTTGGATGATTTCTAACTTATCAGAAGCGATAATGAAAGAATATGAGTCACCGTTTCGGATGAATTAAAAATTATTCAAATTATATCGTGTTCGGTATCATTTTAATCAGAAAAATCTCACCGATATGTTAATAAGATTTTCATTGGCAAAGAACGAAGAATTAGAAGATTTGATCGTAGTTGTCTCGCCGATGTGCGATCATTTAAGGTTGCTCACGCGTTTGGTGTCGTATCCAGCTGGGGCTTTATATTTTTTCTTAATTTTACCAATTTAATTTGATTGATTGATATTGTGAACATTTAAAATACTGAAATGGAAAAAAAGTTTACAAACAACTGTACAAAAAACAATTTTTCTTAATTTTTAAGAAAAAATTGGAAAATTTGTGGAACAAACCAAAGGAAAACAATAATTTTTAGTTTTATTTGATCGTTAATATATCCTTTTTTCCGTGCCATCATAATCTCCGTAAAAAAAATCTATAACCACCTAATTTTTATGAAAATGACATTTTTTTGTAACTAAATATGAAATGATTAACTTCTCAGTATCAAAAAGTAAACACTCATTATTAAAAAGACATTTTTATAACGTTTCTGTTTCAATAATTGTATCGTTGACAGTGCGATTTTTTGGTAGCAATGGAAAGTTGAAGTTTTACGAATGTTCTGTTAAATTTTCAACTAAATTTCTAATTATTAAATATTTGCGTGAGCCACCTTAAATCTTTGTCGGCTGTCCTCGACGACCCTGGTTCTTTTTCCTGGTTTCGACCGTCGCTGCCTGCAAAATGGACAAATTCATAGATAAAAAGTTTCGAGTAACGAATAAAAAATAAAAAATAAAAAAAATATTTTGTCATTTTTAATTGTTTAACACTAGAACTACCAAGCAAGTCAAAATGACTTGTCAATACACTCTTACAACGACGATTAAAATGTTATGACAATACATTTTCTCAGATCTGTTGCACCTTTTATTACGATATGAAAGTGAAGAAATTAGTAAATTTCTCCATTTCTAAATTTTCAAAAGTTTTTCACGTTTATCCACCGATCGAAGCAAATATGCGTTTATCGTCGGTAGTTCTAGTGTTAAATGTGGAAATTTCAATTTTTATAATAAAATAATACTTCTTTATGAATGAATCGACATTTGTCGAACAATTATTTATTCTCATTAACTGTTTAAAGCTTAGGACGCAACCTTTAGATATTGCTGCTTTTCATTGTGTATAATTTGAATAATATTCTGCCCAACTCTGGCGTGTTGCCGAGGCTCAGGCCGAATTGATGACGCGCGAACAGTTCGAAAACGGACCCAACGGTCGAACTTTTAAGGGGGCTTTACTGTATATACAGTATTTTCTTTTTAAATCGAGATCTGGATGAAGTTCCAATTTATCGAATCGTTTCACAATATTCGAGAAAGTAGAACACGTCCATTTGTTTTCGAGTTGGTAGATGTTTGATCTTGATACAGGGAGGAGCATATTTGCCAAGGTTTCCAAACAGAAAGAAATAGCGTCCTCTTAACCGATATATAGGCTTCAATGTCATATAATCACTTGTTTATTATTTTCTCGTTTTTTTTTAACATTAATGTTTCCGTTGTAAGTGAAACGTTACTTCTCAATCGGTAATCATGAATTCCTCTTGTAAATTAAATTTTACGTTACTCCCGTGTTATTTTAAAATATATATCTGAAATAAAAAAATAATAAACAATGTTTTCATATTAGTACACTTAGTTCTGTTTTTACACGATAGATACGTTCCCGAGAAATCCGTGTAAAAACAGACACCGTGCCTATGAAAAAATCGAGGATTGTCCCCGGATCATAAAAACCAGTAAAAATAATACGATAAACCAATTAAGAATTGTTTTCTTGATTCGGGAGCAATTACATAGGAAAATAAGTAGGAATTTTTTTTCTTACAATTCCAATTATGTGAAGATCTTTAAACAAGTTAAATTTATCAGACCGTTTTAGGTTGAAAGAAATCTTGCAAAAAACAGAATTGAATTTTTTTCTGAAACGTGTCGAGTCAGAATGGTGTGTAAAGTCAGAATTGAGTGTGCCTTCTCGAATGTTACAGTAATTTTGTGCAACGTTAAAGTATAAGCTGTGCACAATAAAGTAGTTCCAAAGCAATAAAATACATGCGAGTCTCTACAGTATTAAAAAAAAAAGTAACAAACATAATTATAATTATGATTGTGCAATAAATACTTATTGTTATATAAGTATTTATATGAATTATAGTTGGAATGGTAAAACAACCAACGTCTGAATCGAGTGAATTTACTATGAGTTCTGAAGATTTCCCAGCATTACCAGGAACACAGAATAGAGAAGGACCGTCACCAGGTGGGAGCGTGTCTGGAGACAAGAATGTACCTGTTGGACTCGGTCCTGAAATTGGGCAAGAAGTACTGCAAGCAAATAGAGCGCATGGATCTGATATGTCCCAATCGTCTAAAAGAGGCATACAAACATCTCCTGATGGTATTAAAACTATTCAAATATCTAAATAAACGTAGTATTTACTGTTTGTTATTATTCATTTTATAATGGTTCTC